TCTCTGTCTCTGTCCCTCCCCTGCTCTCTCAAAAACGGAAAGAAAGAAAGAAAGGAAGAAAGAAAGAGAGAAAGAAAGGAAGGAAGAAAGAAAGCAAAGAAGAAATTAGAAACAGACTTCAAGATGAACTAGATGCACAAATTAGCAGCTATGGATTTTTAAAGCAGCTGCTAAAGTATGTTTTAATATTGAGAAGAAAAAAAAATGTCCATAAAGAGTGAACAGAGAGAATATCAGCAGAGAAAATAACAACTTTATAATGAATAAAATGAAGTCTAGTACTGTAAAGCTCGATATCTGATGCATAAAATTACCTGGATGAGTTCAGTATCACTGGATAGAGACTGTAGAAGAAAGGCTATGGAACCTGACGACAAATACAAACACAGTGTGCAATGCTGAAGATTTAAATCCCTTCCCCCTCCTTTTGCTCTTCCCCTTGCCAAAAGATAGACAAGTTACATTAAAAGGTAGGCGATAATCTGGCTTTAGATTTCTTAGCTATGTAGCTACATGCAAAGCTGTAAGAAAATGGAGCAACTTGAGTTTTGAGGAGGTAGAGTTGTGAATTGGGATTTTCTCTGATTCATGTTTTTTTTTAACAAGTTTGTAAAAGATTATGTTTATATGCCTTTCTTTTAAACTTAAAAAAAAAAGCTGCTACTTAAAGACATACTTTAGAAGACCTTGGGATGTGGGGACAGTTGTACTAGAAATGATTGTCCTTTATGGAACTCTCTTCTAAGGATATAATCAAAATATGTGCAAATAGTTTTGTACATTTTTGCTATATGTATTGGAAAATACCTTATTGTTGAGTAAGTGTTCATATAAGTAAATATGCAACCATTAAAATATACTAACAACTGATGTAAGGAAATGCTTTTTTTAATAGTGAGGAAAAAAGCAAGATACAGATTTGTATACTAAATAAAAATTTATATTAAGTGGCAGGAAATACGGAAAATTTTGTCTCTTGATTGTGGGAATTCATGATGGCCTTATTTTTCTGTTTGTATATTTTCCAAAATTTCTGTAAAGAACACATAATTCAAACCTTAAAAAATTAGATCCGTGTGTATAGGGGGACAGTTAGAAGAGATTAATCTGATAATGCCTGTGAATCTATTAATTGAGACTTTTTCATCTAAAAATTCTAATTATAAACATGGAAGAAAGAATGTAACCTTTAAAATATTTTGGGAAGGTGCTCACTTTAGCACCACATGTTACTAAAATTGGAGCGACACAGAGAAGATAAGCACGGCCCCCTGCACAGGGATGACACACAAATTTGTGAAGCTTCCATGTTTTAAAAAATAATAATAGAATATTTTGGGGAAAGATAAAAAAACATTGTCCCAAGTGAAAGATGACTTACACAAGAGTTTATGCCATGATATCATGCATATGAAATTCTAGACTAGGCAAAACTGATCAGTGGTGGGGAAAACACGTCAGAGCAATGGTTATTTCTAGGGACAAGGACAGGAATTGATTGGGAAGAATATGCACGGTCTTTCTTGGATCATGATGAATTTCTATATCTTGTTAAGGATTTGAGTTATGTAGGTGTGTACATTGTCAAAACTCAATATATATTTAAGATCTATTCATTTGTATGTAAATTTTACATAAAAAAAATACCGCCAACAAAAAGGTGGGGAACAAATAGTTTTGTGAAAATGTACAAAGTCTACTCCTTGCTGGCTTTATCCTCATATCCTATGGTCTTAGATAAGTATTCCAGAGTAATAAGATAGTTATAAATTCAATGTACTCTAGTTAGCACCTTGTGCTTGCTTCTCTTAATACTTGCGACATTGCACTGGACTCATTTCATACCTCGAATGGACTGTGAACTCTTGGAGGGCAGGAAATCCCTGCCTTCTGGCACGTAGCTGGCGTGTGCCCAATAAATATTTAATAGGTTAATAAGTATCCCTCGGCCCTTGTTCCCACCTCTTACCTGTAACAAAAATGTTTCTCTATTCTATTCGTTACAATTATTAGTTCTGTATCTTTTTTTTTATAATATTAATTGGTAAGTGGAATTAACAAAATAGCAAAGTTAATCTTTTAACATTTGTTATTTCAAGTTGTTTGTTCAAGGGGCTTGCTTAAAATTGTATCAAAATGTTACAGTAGTGTGGCTTAAATATCTGTCTTTGAAAACTATGATTGAGTTTGTGGTCAGGTTGTGGGTCTCCAGTTGCAAAGTGTTTTAGGAGGAAATATTAGACACTATAATTAAATCATTTTGTGACATTTATAGTAAAGTTACTACAGTAAAAAAAAAACAAAAAAAAAAAACTGCCTTGTCATTATTGTGTGGTTCTAACCTCAATAAAATGTCAAAGTTAGACCAACGGAAGATTTATTTGAAAGTTGGTTAGTTATATTCAGAGATTTTTTTTTTACATGATAAATTAATGCTAGACAAAAAAATATTGTATTTTATGGGAAAGAGTAACTTAAGTTTTTAAATATTTGAGAATTTTACATAAAAGGATTTCTAGTAGAAAATCCTGAGGGAGATTGAAAACATACACTTAAGAAATTCAGAAGGAAATTTCATGCTAGTGAAATTTTTTGGCAGAAATATGTATATGGTTATTGAGTGAAAACTTCAACAGATACATTTCTAATTGACAAAATAGTTACTTAATACATTTTAATTTAATGAGGACGAATGATATAGCTTGTAAATTATTCAAGTCCCTTCTTTTTGTTATGCTTAGCTATATATTAAATTTAGTTTTTGAAACAAACTTAAAAGATGTTGAAGTTCAGTGGTGCATTACTGTTCCATACTTATGTCCTAAAGTGTTTTTTTTGTTTGTTTTGTTTTGTTTTGTTTTCCATTTTGTTGTTTTAGTTACTCGGAACATTATCACAGAATTAGACTAAAGGAATGTTGGGTAGTTTACAAGTATATTAGTAGCCCATTAGGATAGCATTTTACAATTTATTTAGAAATCATTGCATTTGTTTATTATTAATAACTAGCATTTATCAAATCCGTATTTTGTGTCAGGTGTCACGCACAGCACTTTGCTTACATCATCTTGTATAATCTTCACAGCTATGAAATTGGCATTATTATCTATCCTTTTTTAACAAATGAGGAAATTTCAGGTTTAGAGAGGCAAAGTAATTGGCCTAAGGTCACACACACTTGGTAGTTGGATGAAGTGGCTTCCATCTCAGGTTTGATCTGATGCTTAATCAAGTCCTAACCACTACATTTTACAAACTAAGTATTGAAGCTTGTCCTGGGGATGTTTACAGTGAACTAACATATATATATGCATACTGGGTTTGCTCAATTAGTTTTGGTTCCTCTCCTGAAGTTTCTTTTGGTCTAGGGATCTGGTTCCTCAAAGTGTGGTTCATAGACCAGAAGCATTGGCATTTCCTGGGAACTTGCTGGAAGTGTAAGATCTCAGGCCCTAGTCCAAGAGTATAGAATCCGAATCTGATTTAACAAGTTTGCCAGGTGATTGGTGTGTACATTCAAGTTTTGGATAAGCATTGGCCTGAAAGAATAACTGGGTCAGAGTAGAGTAGTGGAGTCTAGAGAGGCATCGGCATCATCCGAGTCATATCTTTATACTCTACCAGACTGATTTTTTGAATACTTCAGATAACATGTATATTATACAGATGTTATTTATCAGTCTATGTACATTGTACCTATGATATTTGGTGAAAACCTTTGAATTCTTTTGAAAGTATTAATACTATATTCTAGAAGATGGTTTTGGGAGTATAATATCTTCTAATTTTAGGGAATTGGATATTAAATACAACAGCAACCATTTATATAAAATCAACTAACTGTAGGTTTCACTGGCTAGTTTTGTAGTAAATTTTATCTTTTAACTGACATTGATTACATCTGGGTGAAAATGGGATAGGGCTGATTTTATATTTGACTCATTTTTATTTTTTAAAAGATGATGATTAATGAAACTTGGAAATGAAAACTTGATTTCCCCCACCCCTTCCCAGTTTGCCTAATGCCTCTTGCCTAATACTGGATTTGTCATTTTTTTAGATGTGGAAGTTATATACTATGACTGGATTTCTCTTTGTTTACATGGCGCCCTTATGGACTAGCAGGGTCTGTGCTTTAAGTATCTCTTAACGGCCCAAAATTTAACCCAATATATGCATTCATGTATTAACAAGTGCTTTTTTGGTATTTTACATAGGAAGCACTATTCTGTTATGCATGCATTGCCACTAACACAATAGATATAAAGAACTCCTAACTTTAAGTCACTTCCTAGATTAAGGCAATAACTGACTTTGAGGATGGAAAGTGAATTCCAGTAAGTTTATAATAGGCTGTTTTATTATTCTGATGCTAAATTAGAAATTGACATACACAGAGTTTATATTTTTGTAAATACCATAATTTTAGATTGAGCATGACTTTCGTCTTTCACTGACATGTAAATAGCGGTGTTAATGTATATCCAGAATAGGTGAACCCAGATAGTTTTATAGTCAAACACTTAAATTTAATGTTAGATAGAGGTTGTCCTATGTTCTAAAGATTAACTTAAAAAATAATGAGCTCAGTGGCTATGAAGATGAGCTGGAAAGGTTTTATTATATTGATTACCCAAACTCAGTCTTCTGCCTCTGTTGTCCTTATCTGCATCTTCCTACTAAGAAATGACTTTGCTTCTCTTAGAAAAGCCTAACCCTTTCCTGTGAGCCTGAGAAATAATTAACAGTTAGAATTTAAAAAGCTTTCTTGAAGTAAGAGCTTCACACACACAAAGATAGTGTACCAAGTAAGTACAAACTTCTTAAAAAATTGAAAATAAGATTTACTTTCCACCCATAATATTATTAATCATATTTTAATTATCTTAGCATCTAGATGTAGTAATAAAAGTATTCACTTCTATCTGGAAGAGCAGTTGGTATTAATAAATATGAATCATATACTCTTCAGAACTTTAAAAATGCGTTTTATTTTTCAGCAAAGATGTCAAGGAAGTTAAGCTTGCCTACTGACCTAAAGCCTGACTTAGGTAAGTAAAATAAATAAATGAATAAAATCCACAGTAGTTAAACTCCCTTCAAGGGGAAGACCAGGAAATCAGAAGATTTAAAATTACGATAGACTAGATTTTTATCAGAAATCAAGTTTAAAAGGAGTAAGAAGTTTAAGGATTAATAGCCTCTAGAATGTCATCTGTAAATTATAAAAGATTATAATTTCAAGCAAATCAAAATAATATATTTTCTCAGTTCTCATACTTTAAACAAAATTTAGTATAAGATTGAAATTTGTGCAATTTCAGATTAAGTTCTATTAAAAGTTATTATGTCCCATTTAACTATCTGAAAACTTACTTGAACTTTATAAACTTACAACATTTTCACAGTAAATTAGTTTTCTGTATTACATTGAATTTCTCGTATCAAGAATCATTATTAATTTTGGTGATAATAAATTGGGAAGTATTCCTTTTTCTTTAGCACTTTCTTTACAACTAATGCACTAGGTAAACAGAATGAATTCATTCACACATTCCTTTTGCTTTATACCAGCTCAAAAACAGCTCCCTGACATCACAGAATAGGGACAAATGACATTCCAATAAAGATAAAAATAAACTTGCAACATTTCTTTTTAAATAACTCACCTTTTTTTTTAATTTCAGAAATTGCAATTATTTTTAATAAAAAGTAGACTGGCTGAAGGTGATTTCACCCATCTTTGTCATAGAAATAACTAGATTTCCTCCCTTGCATTTGCTCACACCCATTATCTTTTCACTATTTATTCCTTAGATTCCTTGACTATCTTTTTAAGTAATACAAACTTAGATATTGGCCCATTTCACCATTCTAATTTTAGCATTTCCACGTCATAGTCTTATCTCAGTTGTACTGATAGAGAGCATGTGATTATTAGTGAGAAGGCATAATATCTTCCGTTGTCAGAGTACAAGGTTCCATTCCTGAACATAAGGAAAAACAGTTTAGTAGAATCCTGTACTAACACTGATGTTAAGGGAACCAGAATTAATTCTAGAGTATAGGATAACATATGTTTTGAGAAGGGAATAGTTCCCTTCACTATATAAATGACAGATGTAATTTGAAACCAAGTGTATCTGAGAGGCAGAGTTTTCATCAGACTAAGAGGCCCATAATTTCATTAACACTAAATACTGTGAGTTAAAATGTTTTTGTCTTTTCTAGTATCTTAAAAATATGAGACGACATATGTAGAAGTACTTTTAAAATTCATAAAAAGAGTATAATTATTTTTAAAAAGAATATTCACACTTATAAATTATGTAAGTAATGTAATCAGCAGGTATACTCCATACTTATTTGTAGATCATATTTATGAAGTTCATGTTTTAGCTTACATGCCCATGTATTTCACTGCCCTAAGCCAATAACTGATTGCTACATACCTTGGAACAGTCTCTGTGCTACCTAAGTAACTTCCCTTCGTGTCATTGTGCTGCTAAACTATTTTTAGAGATTCTTAGCTGGTAATTGTTTTATATTGGCTGGGGAGTCAATGGGGAACAACAACTCTATTGATAGGCTCAAACTGTCAGATGTTCCCAAAGCAGCTGAAGCTGGTGGGACTATTCCTGCAGCTCTGGAACCTTCTGTGACTAGAATTCACTTTGGCTTATAAGGAAATTGTGCAACATTGCACTTGTACTATATCTTCACCATCCTATATTCTATGGCCCAGTCTCAGGAACCATGGGTGATATTGTTAGACCTCTGATGTTACTTTTCAAGTGTCAACCACCAGAGGGGGGGAAAAATTAGACTTTTATACCTTGATGTGAATTAGTTTTAGGTCCTAGAATTTACCCTGACCAAACTCATCTCTTGGCATTATGTTTTGACGGAGGGAATAAAATATTACATAAAGCTCTATGTGGGAAGGAGAGGGGAATATACATAGGTAGAATGTTCTAAGCATCCAGAGTAACATGAAAGCAATAATTTTGTGACATGATTATAACACCTACAGTTGGATGGCATTAATGAAAAATGTTATCTGAGTTTAGATCTTCCAGAAACACCCCATGTTTAAATATATTTTTTGTATTTAAAGACTGAACTTTAATTCTCAATAATAATCCAAACCCTCCCTTTGTATATTGGTGGTATGACTAATCCCTTGTTTATATGGAGTTGCCTAAGAAAGTTTTGGACTTGGACATGACTCAAGTCCTGACTCCTACTAATTATCTTTGTCATCCTGGGAAAGTTATTTAACCTAAGTGTCTGTTTTATTATTTGTTATATTGTGGTCATAAAACTTTTCACAGTTGTTAAGTGGATTCAATAGAATGATAAATGTAAAGTGTTAATGAGAGTATGTATCCTATGGTAGGCCTTGCTTAGCGATAGCTATTTTCATTTCTGCTCTTAATAAAATTTCTATTCCGTTTGTTTAGCTTGCCCAATTTCTAAGATTCAAGCCACAAAGATCGACAACATGTGATTTAACAATAGTATAAATTATAATTCATGAACTGCTAAAAATTCTAACTGGTTTTCAAACGATTCTGGGCATATAGAATTTTGTAAGTTCAGGGATGCCTGGGGGGCTCAGTAGGTTAAGCATCCAACTCTTGATTTCGGCTCAGGTCAAGATCTTGCACTTCGTGGATTGGAGCCCAGTATTGACTCTGAACTGACCATGTGTGGCCTGCTTGGGATTCTCTCTCTCTCTCTCTCTCTCTCTCTCTCTCTCTCTCTCTCTCCTCTGTCTGCCCCTTCCCCACTCTTTCTTGTGCCCGTGCACTCTTCTCTCTCTCAAAATAAATAACCTTGAAAAAAAGGATTTTGTAAGTTAAATATTGATTCTGATTCAGTTCATTTTTAGAGTTTCTTTGGTGATCTAATTTTTATAGAGAAGTCATAATACAAATGCAGTTGTAGCTTATGAATTTAATATAGTTAAATTATTCCATTAAATTAAAACACTGTTTATTTGTCCTGTAATTAACATTTGAAGTATAGATATGTTGTGAATCATCTATTGTAATTTTAACAGTAGATAACAGTAAGAAATTTTACACAGATTAATTGAGAATGAAATTTATGTTATCAAATTTTCTTATCAAATGTATATTTATATTAGATTTTCTTATATTATCAAATTTTTATGGATTTCTGTCTTTACACTAGGTCACAACTGAAAATATATGTCCAATCACCTTGCATGTGTATGTTTCGTTAAATATTTTATTTATTGATTGATTTTTATTTAAATTTTAGTTAACACACAGTGCAATATTGATTTCATGAGTAGAATTCCGATTCATCACTTAAATTCAACACCCAGTGCTCATCACAATCAGCCATCTACTAAATTTAAATTTTCTACTATTTGGGGCACCTGGCTGGCTCAGTTGGTAGAGCATGTGACTCTTCATCTCGGAGTTATAAGTCTGGGCCCCACATTGGATGTAGCAGTCACTTAAAATTTAAATAAAATAATTAAATTTCTATTATTTTACTAAAATAACTTTGAAAACTTCAGAGTTAACATTTGGAATCAATTTATATATTTAACATTACCACACTCATCCGCTAATGAGCTTTTGCTTATGGAAAGTTGTTACATTTACAGGAAGAAATAGTTCTTTTTTACTGTGTCAAACAGGGTATACAGGTAAAAGAGACATGTTTAGGAACTATAGTTAGAGATTGCCCATCCTGTTGCCATAACTAGTAGCTTTATTATTTTCAGAGGCCAGTGATAATCAAAATTCTGTTGTATATAATTACCATTTTGGGAAATATTGTCAATGTATGAATCTAAATTTGATTACAAACGCTTTTAGAGGAGGTACAGTTAGGATTCATTTATACGTTTTTTATTTAATAAAATACATTTTAAAAGACTTGAATGTGTTTTCATTTTTCATGACATATGAAGTCATTTCTTTCATGATAGCACTGAAACTATGTGATTGGAGGAAATATTTATTAGATATGAACAGTAGAAAGTACTAGAAGTTTTAATATCCCAAAGTTGTTGCACCAGCACATACCATTTTAGATACTTTCACCTACAGATCTGTCTTCAGCAAGTATTTGTTGGATATTAGTATATGCCAGACACTATGCTAAATCCTACAGGGCATCAAAATGGCACAGCACCTGTACTCAAGAAACTCAGAGTCACTTGAGAGTGAGGCCTAAGACAAGCCCAAAAGAACTACAGAACAAATGTACTCTTAGTGCCATGGGAGAGAAAAAGCTATCGAGATTCAAAAAAGAGAAAAACCATATACAATTTTCGGGGTCAAGATAAACTTCATGAAGATGACAGTACCTGAGATAGCAAATAAGCACGATCTTGATAGGTAGAGAAAAGAGTGAGACACAAGAACCAGTCAGAAAGAAATCACAAGCAAAAGTCTAAAGTAGGTGAGTGCAAGGTAGGTCTGGAGAACAACGAATGACTCATTTTGTTCTCTCAAGGTTCTGAAAGCAGGGTAGCATTGGAAGATAGGGCCACCAAGGAGAGTTGGAAATATTTTGTGGAGAGTCTTAAAAACCTGAGTAAAATATTAAGCATGCTCAAATAAAGAGGAGCCACCGAAGAGTTTTTAAATAGAAGTGATAGAATTATGACTGTACCTTGTAAAACTCAATTGAGTTATGTTAGAGCAGTGAAAGAGTGAGGGTGGGGAGACTACTTGGGAATTGTGCGGTAGTCTATGAATGGTAATGGAAGCCTGAATGAAGGGTGATGGAAGTCGATTGGTAATGGAAAGAAGGGAACAACACTGGGGTAAAATAACTTAGGACTTGGCATCCCACCAGATGTATGTAGGTAAAGTGAAAGGGAGTAACCAAAATGAAACGCATCTTAAGCGTTGCTCCCTAGAACAGGATTTATAATTTCGATTATAAATAGTTGAAAGTAACCATGCTTTTCTAGTTCTGCCAAACCATGACACTGTATCACCAAAGGAAGAAACAGCATCAAGAGAAAAGATGGTGCTGGTAAGGGCCAAGATTCGAAAAACAACCAGGATACCAACAAAGCACAGCACCAAAACCCGTACAGATCACACATCCACAAATTCACTGGACTGCACCCAGCTCGCTTCTAAGAAGTGTGAATTTATCTGTTTGTATTTTATATTTCAGCAAAGGAAAATAATTATTAGCATAGAAGTGAATTGTTTTTCTTTTTAATTAAAAGAGACTAATTAAATAATTAAATATTAATTAAATTAATTAAAACATGCTATAGGTTTTGTCTTTTTGCAGATTAACTCTTTGGCCAAATTTATACCACATAAAAAAATAGGATGCTTTATAACTTGGACGATCTCACAACATTTTAAATCATTTCAGATATAAAAGATAATTCCTTCAGCCGATCACGGAGTTCTAGCGTAACCAGCATTGATAAAGAATCCCGAGAAGCCATCTCTGCTCTTCATTTCTGTGAAACTTTTACTCGAAAGGCAGATTCATCTCCTTCCCCATGTTTATGGGTTGGTACTACTCTGGGAACAGTGCTTGTCATTGCACTGAACCTTCCACCCGGAGGAGAGCAAAGACTTCTTCAGCCAGTCATTGTGTCTCCAAGTGGTATGTATGCTTTCACGCTGTACTTACGTTAAAGATCAGACTTTTAGTAGAAGCCCTTGTTCTTCGTTTTGGGATTGATCTAAGAATTCTAAGTGGAGAAATTTAGTCTTGTGTTTTTAGCGACAGAATACATGGAATAAAGTTCCAGAAAATCATGTATTTATACAGCCGTTCTGGTCTTGCTGCTTTTTTTTTTTTCCCCTTAAGTCTAGAATCATGTCTATAATGATTACTATGTAAGAAAATGAAAAACAAAACAAAACAAAAAAAAAACTGTTCTTCTAATGCATTGTAGGATACCTTAAAATACTGTGTTCTGTAAGCAAAAGGATGGTACCGTAGTTAGGAGAAAAAGCAAAAAGCGTTTTCTAAAACATCATACAGTTGGCTATTTTTAATCTCTAAATGTGAACTCTTTTTTTTTTTTTTTTTTTTTTTTTTTTAAATTTTTTTTAACGTTTATTTATTTTTGAGACAGAGAGAGACAGAGCATGAACAGGGGAGGGGCAGAGAGAGAGAGGGAGACACAGAATCCGAAACAGGCTCCAGGCTCTGAGCTGTCAGCACAGAGCCCGATGCGGGGCTCGAACTCACGGACTGTGAGATCATGACCTGAGCCGAAGTCAGACACTCAACTGACCAAGCCACCCAGGCGCCCCAAATGTGAACTCTTAAAATAGGTTATTTTTCTCCTTTGAACTATTAGGAAAAGCTGACTTAATAGCAAATTTTAAGAAGAAAATATTTATGATCTTCATATGTTGAAAATGAGATTGAATTTCATCAAATGTATGTGAAATCTGAAAGACCTGGAAATAACCGAGAAACCTGGTTTTTATTACTAATTTATGCTGATTTAGATAGAAAAAAAACATGATTGAGCTCATTAGTGTATCCCTTGTTTATACAGTGGACTTTAACATTACTTGAAATTTAAAACATAATTTTGATTTTAATGATAATTTGTAAAATACCAAAGAAATAGTTTGATTTACTCATTCAACTCAATAAATATTTGAGTATATTCTATATGCTTCACTGTTAGAAAAGGTTCCATAATGATAATCTTCTTACTAATCTTGTTTCTTATTAGTAAACAACAAATATCTGTACAGGAAGAAAACCTGGAAAGAGAAACCACTTAAAGAATTTTAAGTACTCTAGTAGTCATATTAAAAACATTTAAAAAATGAAATTAATTTTCATAACACTTTATTTAGCCTAATGTATCCAAAATGCTATCATTTCAACATGTAATCAGTATTTTTAAGTTGTTAAGGTATTTTACTTTTAACTTTTTTTGTACTAAGTCTTCAGAACCGGCACATGTGTGTTTGATTCTCAGAGTGTGCCACCGTGTGGACAGGCCGCATTTCAAGGACTTTGTAGCCACGGTGTCTGCCATAGTAATGCAGCTCTAGGTGTCACCTACCTGCTCTCACACTTGTTGGTAGTACACTTGCCAGATAGGAGAGAAGACATAGCTCCAGACATACCGTGTGTCTCTTCGGGGCATGTAGTTCTGATATCATTTTCCAGATTCAGCTACATGCTTGAAGATTGAATCCCTTCGGGAAGCCGGTGTACAGTTCCAGTCTCATGTCCATTCTGTGTGTTTTTGAGTGTCTCCTGTGTGTCAGAGTTGGAGTAAATACATTTGCTGTGGCGATTCAAGTAGTTGTTACTTACGTATTTTAGGTACTATATTGAGGTTGAAAGGAGCGATCCTGAGAATGGCATTCCTGGATACCACAGGCTGCTTAGTACCACCTGCATATGAATCCTGGAGAGAACACAATGTTCCTGAAGAAAAAGATGAAAAGGAGAAATCAAAGAAACGACGGCCTGTCTCCGTATCCCCCTCCTCTTCTCAGGAAATTTGTGAAAACCAGTACGCAGTGATATGTTCTGAAAAGCAAGCAAAAGTCATCTCACTGCCATCTCAGAACTGCGCTTACAAGCAAAACATTACAGAGACCTCGTTTGTGCTTCGTGGAGACATCGTAGCATTGAATAACAGTATCTGCCTTGCCTGTTTTTGCGCCAACGGACATATTATGACTTTTAGGTGAGTTACACATTTTCCTAAAACACAAATAGAGCATATACCCCCTTAAAACATAACATTACAGAGTTATATTCCGTTGAAATGAAACGCTTTTGTTTACGGTCTTATACACTGAGAATTTATTGTTATTCACTTAATTGTGAACAACTTTATGAGGAATACAAATCAATTTTATCTCCCTCTCAAGTATACTAAATCATCAGGTTTGCAGGATCCTGCCATTTTTGTCTTCTATAATACTCTGTTCAAGTCGAAAACCTACTCTGTTATTTTTTTGAATTCCAGTTAGTGAACGTACAGTGTTCTGTTAGTTTCAGGTGTGCACCCTGGTAGTTCAACACTTCCATACGTTACCTGATACTCCTCATGACTAGTGTACTTCTTCATCACCGTCACCTATTTCACCCTTCCCCTGACCCCACTCCCATCTGGTAACCATCAGTTTGTTCTCTGTAATTAAGAGTCTGTTTCTTGATTGGTCTCTCTCATTCTTATTTTTTCCTATTGCTTGTTTGTTTTGTTTCTTAAATTCCACACGAGAGTGAAATCATATGGTATTTGTCTTTCTCTGACTTATTTCACTTAGCATTGTACTCTCTAGTTCTGTCCATGTCCTTGCAAATGACAAGTCTTGATTCTTTTTTATGGCTGAATAATATTTGTGTGTGTGTGTGTGTGTGTGTGTGTGTGTGTGTAGAATATTTGGAAGAAGATGTGGATCTTCTTTTTTCCATTCATCAGTCAATAGACACTTGGGCCGCCTCCATATCTTGCTGCTGTAAATAATGCTACTGTAAACATAGGGGTGCACGTATCCCTTTGAATTGGTGTTCTCCTATTCTTTGGGTAAATACCCAGTTGTGCAGTTGCTGGATCATAAGGTAGTTCTAGTTTAACCTTTTGAGGACCCTCCATACTGTTTTCCAAAACCTACCTTGTTTCTTATTAATGACTTTTCAATATTTTTCTCAAGTTTGCCTAGTTTAAGACCTCTACTGGATGTGTATTACTTGCCCCTCACCAACATGCGGATAGCCAGAACATTCTGCTTCACCAACAATGGACAAGCATTATATCTTGTTTCACCTACAGAGATCCAGAGACTGACTTACAGTCAAGAGACCTGTGAAAATCTTCAGGTAAATAACAAAAATATTGCTATAATCTCTTCAGAGGTGAAATACTCTGTAAGGTCCCTTATTTTTGTTCATCTCTTACACTCTCAGGAGTATACAAATGAATTTGCATAGGAAAATTCAAAGCCTGACTTTCAGACCATATGCTTTGAGATTTGTTATAAAGTATCTTCATCAGACTCTTGTTACAAGAGGGACTTCTCTCATTGATCGGTATTTTTTCTCTCCAGTGATGGCAAAGAAATATGAAATGTTATATACATTTTATACACACTCTCCACGTATAATAAATATCTATTATACACACAGGAAAATCTTTTTGAAGGAAGTAGGTTAATGTGAAAATAATTATGTCTGTTTTATGGCTAATCGTGTCATCCCTTCTTATATACTCTATTCACAAGGATATATATACGTAAAAGAAAAAATAAGGTTTTATAGTTTTTCTCTGAATATTTTGGTTGATCTGACATTGTTTAAATACAAAACTGTTTCTTGTTTTAATATTCAAGTGCCTTATGTGCTTGCATATACAGTTGACCCTTGAACAAGGTGTGTTTGAACCACACAGGTCCACTTAAATACACAGATTTTTTCGATAAATACAGTATAGTAGTGCAAATGTATTTTCTTTGCCTCATGGTTTTAACATTTTCTTTCCTCTAGCTTACTTCAGTCTAAGGATATGGTATGTAATATAATACGTAAAATATGTGCTAACCCACTGTTGATGTTGTCAGTAAAGCTTCTGGTCCACAGTACACTATTAGCAAAGTTTTGGGGGATTCAAAAGTTATACGTGGATTTTTGACTGTACGTGGCAGTTGGCAGTTGATCCTTCACACTGTTCAGGGGTCAACTGTATATTAGAAATGACCAGTCTAGAGGCGCCTGGGGGGCTTAGATGGTTAAGTGTCCAACTTGTGATTTCAGCTCAGGTCATGACGTCGTTGTTCATGAGACCGAGCCCCACACCTGGCTCTGCACTGACAGCACAGAGCCTTTTTTGGGATTCTCTCTCTCCCTCTCTGTCTGTCCCTCCCCTATTTGTGCACACTCATGGGTGCACTCTCTCAAAATAAACATTTTTAAAAATGATCCATCTAGTTTCACATTTTAAAATAAAAATGCTATTGAAATACTGAGCTAAAATATTATTTGATATTTAGAGGAAACCCTTATATAAGGGAACTTTTCTTTTTAAGGGAACTTTATAATGTAAGATTTTACAATTAATTAGCCCTGTTTTATTTATTTGTAAGTTTAAATTTGTGGCTTTTTTCGAATATGAGCTTTAGAGTCAAGACTGAATTTAAGTCCCATTCTTGATAATAATTACACAATTATATGACCTTGGACAGGTTACTTACTGCCTCTAAGCCTCATCATCTTTAAAAATAGGATTACAGGGGCGCCTGGATGGCTCAGTTGGTGAAGCGTGTGACTTCGGCTCAGGTCATGATCTCGCGGTTTGTGAGTTCACGCCCCATGTCGGGCTCTGTGCCGACAGCTCAGAGCCTGAAGCCTGCTTCGGATTCTGTGTCTCCCTCTCTCTCTGCCCCTCCCCTAGGGGCTCATGCTCTGTCTCTCTCTGTCTCAAAAATAAATAAAACATCAAAAAAAAATTTTAATAGGATTACAAAGAATATGGGGTGAGTTAAAGAAGACAGTGCACATAAAGGGCTTAGCATCGTGCTTGATAAAGAGTTGGTGCTGTCAGATGTTAGTATTTTTCAGTAAGCTAGACTGTCCTGGAAATGTCCTTCTAATGATATTATAAACCTTGAGAGTGAAATAGAATTACATATATGACATTTTAGATATAAATTTCCATTCACATTTGGGTGGAGTTGTTTTTACAAAGATTTCTCGGTTTCTGAACTAAACTCTTGCTTTTCCTGGGATAGGTAAAATTTTTCTTTAGTTTTCTTTCACTAGTAAAATTGTTACAGTATTAAGTACAATATTAATTCAATGGACAATTGAATATATTCCTAATTCATTTTCATCTGAAGTGTGGCCTTAATTCAACTATTCAAAATTTTAAACTTCATCACTTTTTGGGAATCAAATCTATTCTTTGGTCAGTGTTTTATTTCAGTAAAAATCAGTAACAGCTGCAGTAAACTTTACCCATTTACTTTTTAATGAAATGGTCATTTAGTAGTACACTCAATTTATTTTAATAACTATCTGCTGTCTGCCTTCATGATATAAATGAAATAAATGAACTCTAAGCAGTTTGTGATAGAATGTTCTCTTTGGACATTATTGACATTTTATTTACTTCTGTGTTTTCAGTGCTTAAAAATAATGCTTTGGTGGGGCGCCTGGGTGGCGCAGTCGGTTAAGCGTCCGACTTCAGCCAGGTCACGATCTCGCGGTCCGTGAGTTCGAGCCCCGCGTCGGGCTCTGGGCTGATGGCTCAGAGCCTGGAGCCTGTTTCCGATTCTGTGTCTCCCTCTCTCTCTGCCCCTCCCCCGTTCATGCTCTGTCTCTCTCTGTCCCAAAAATAAATAAACGTTTAAAAAAAAAAAAAAAATAATAATGCTTTGGTAAAAGTCTGATTTAAATACCATGAACTTTATAAACACTAATCCTTGGTTTCCAGAATGCCCTAATACATTGTGCATTCATTTTGCTTTAACCAAAAAAATAAAGAAGATGCCTACAAACATTAATGGAGTTTCCAGCCCACAGGGAATAATAGGGACCAGAGTAATAACCCTCCTGCCTAAAGCCACCCAAAAAGAGCAGACATAAACACGAAACAACAGTTTTCACAATCCTGGGCATTAAGCAGTGGAGGAAAGTAATCCCCGAGAAACAAGAAACAAAGACGTGCCCCAGCTTTAATGCCTTGATAGAGGTTTCAGAGCATGGCATAGAGGGAAGGTACTGAGGCGGAGTCTGAACAACTTCCCATGTAGAGGAGACAGAACCAAGAGTCTGGGAAGACCAAGTAAGTTAAGAGTTCTTAGAAGACAGTACCAGAGAGGAGAGAGCTGTATATAGAGAGAACCCTGGTCCACTGAGAGTACTCAGTAGAGTATTATCGAGCACATGCACGTGGATAAACTCTCCGGCCTGGGAAAGAACCATCTGAAAGGAGGGGAGAATTAGAGGGAATTGTGCCTGGTCCCAGGGCCAGAAACAAGTGTCCGTTCTCAACAACCAAGCTATAAAAGTTTATAATTCATGAATGTGTTAGTTTCCCGGAGCTGCTATAACAAATCACCACAAACTTGGTGGCCAAAAACAACATAAATTTATTCTCTCACACTTTGGGAAGTCAGAAATCTGAAATAATTTTCACTAAGCCAACATCAAGGTGTAGAGAGGGTCATTTTTCTTTTGAGTGTCGGACTCGTTTTTATTTTTTTAATTTTGTTTAATGTTTATTTTATTTTTTGAGAGAGAGAGACATAGCGTGCTAGCAGGTGAGGGGCAGAGAGAGAGACACACACACAGAATTTGAAACAGGCTCCAGGTTCTGAGTTGTCAGGACAGAGCCCAACATGGGGCTTGAGCTCACAAACCGAGAGATCTTGACCTGAGCCGAAGTCAGACACTTAACCTACTCAGCCACTGCGGTGCCCCTAGGATTAGAACCTGATATTTTAGATGGCCGTTATATTCAGACTACTTCAGTGAGCAATTAGGTAGAGTACTCAGGGCGGTCCAGGCACATTATTTGAAGAATAATTAGCCTTAAAATAATCACTGCTTGAGACCTGCCTAACAAATCATAAAAGGAAAAACCCAAAAGGATCGAAATGTTTCCTAGTATCCCAGAATGAAGCTGAAGATGACTTAGAGAAATGAAAGATATCTAGTACTTAACAAGATAAAAATCAAAAGGTCTGGCATCCAGTCAAATCAATAAGAAAATATCCATAATGAGAAGAATTGATCTTTAAAAGAAACCAAACCAGAACTGACACAAACATTAGAATTAGTACAGAAGGGCATCAAACCAGTTATAATATTTCACATATTCAAAAAGTTAAGTGGAAACATGGAAGGTACAGAAGACCAAAATCAATCTTCTAGAGATGAAAACTGTAGTTTTTGAGATGAAAAAATATACTGGTTGGGATTAACAACAGGTTAGACAATGCAGAAGAAAAGATTAAGTAACTTGAAAACAGCAGTAGAAAAAACAACTGAGTGTTTAATTTTTTTTTTTTTTAACATTTATTTATTTTTGAGAGACAGAGTAAGCACGCGAGCAGGGGAGGGGAAAAGAGAGAAGGAGACACAGAATCCGAAGCAACCTCCAGGCTTTGAGCAAGCAGTCAGCATAGAGCCCGACGCCGGGCTCAAACCCACAAACCATGAGATCGTGACCTGAGCCGAAGTCACACACTTAATCGACTGAGCCACCCAGGTGCCCCAAAGCAACTGAGTGTTTAAACTTGACAAATTTGTAGCACTAAACCACTTATATTAAAAAAAAAAAAACAAAAAAACAAACAAAAACAACCTCATCAAATCAGTGACCTCAGTTTCCACTATAAGAAACTGGAAAGGAAAAGCAACTTAAACCCAAAGTAAGCACAAGAAAGAAAATAATAAATATCCAAGTGGAAAATAGTAAACAGAAATAGAAACAAGGAAACAGTAGAAAAACATCAATAAAACTAAAACTTGATCTCTAAAACCAATAAAATTGATCTCAGGCCAGTCGATTATTAAGAGAGAAGTTACAAATTACCAGTGTCAAGAATGAGAGAAGTGGCATTACTATATTCTACAAATATTAAAATGGGTAATAAATATTATGAACAACTTTATGCCAATTAACTCAAAAACTTAGATGAAACAGACAAATTCCTGGAGAGACACAAATTACCAAAGATCACTAAAAAAAAAACAAACAAAAAAAAACAAACAAAAATAGATAACCTGAAGAATATCTATTGGAATAATTGAGAAGAAAATTGCAGGCCCAGATGGCTTCACTAGTGATTTCTGTCAACATTTTTAGGAGTAAAAAATACCAGTTCTACACAAAACTCAAAACTCAAAGTGGAAAAATCCTTCCATACTCATTCTAGAAGCTACAATTAACATGATATGAAAAATAGATATACATTACAAGAAAATTCTATATAGACCAATATACTTCACAAATACAGGTTTAAAAATTCTAAACAAAATTTTAACAAACTGAATCCAACAGTATTTCGAAGGATAATTCTGGTCATAATTCATCATGACCAAGTGGGATTTATCCCAGGAATGTAAAATTGTCTTTAACATTTGTAAATCAATCAGTGTAACTTCATCATATTAGTAAGCTAGCAGCAATTGACAAAATCCAACATCCATGTCTTAATTAAAAGAAGAAAAACCTCAGCAAAGAAGGAATAAAAGGGAGTTTAAAGGACGTCTAGGGAAAATCTACAGCTAACATTATATTTAGTGATGAGATACTGAATTATTTTTTCTTAAAATCAGGAGCTAGAAAAGGATGCTCACTCTCAAAACTTCTATTCATTGTTGTATTTAAGGTTCTAGCCAGTGCATTCAGGCCAGAAAAAGGAAGAAAAGGCATCTCAGTTGGAAAGGAAAAGTAAGCCTGCTGTTACTCATAGATGACATGATCATCTATCTAGGAAATCTATCCAAAAGCCTACTAGAAATAATGAGTGAGTTTGACAGGGATGCAGGGTATGAGATCAATATGCAAAAAAAAAA